TTATATATTTATAATTAACTAAAATATTATATTTAAATATATAGAAATTAATTTTGCAACTAAATTACAACTTCTTATTTTAGTAATTTATAATCAGCAATGAAAATTTAAAAATAATCCAGAATATGATCCAATTAAATTTAAACAAATATTAAAACAAAATGAATCTAAATTAACTAGATTTTTTGATGAATTAGTTGAAGGTCTTATACCAAAAACAAGAAGTTTTTATAATCAAGAAGAAACAAAAAAATCTATTATTTCATTTTGTTATCTTTTTGCTAGTTTAAGAAATAAATTTGCAAATAGTTATAAATTAGATATTGGACTTCATTTAGCTTCAGCAAGAACTTCATATAGAGGTATAGATATTTTATCAAATACAGGACTTACAGTTTCATCTAAAACTGTATTAAGATATAAACAACAATTTGTTAAAGATTATTTTGAAAAAATTTGTAAATATTTTAATAATAATGTAAGTTATTTTTATTTAATTTTTTAATAATAATAATTTATATTATTATAATATAGTATATAATTTATTATTTTATATTTTATAGATAGATTATTTATATACATTTAATCTTGATGATTATTATTCAATTTATAAAATACATAGACCAAATAATATTTTTATATTTTTTTTTTTTCAACTACATTTTGCAACATGTACAGCTAAAAAAGTTAATTTTTCAACACCTATTTTAGCTAATTATAATAATATTTCTTTATTTAATCCAATTAATATTGCTGCTAATAATCTTTGTAAATAGTTAAAACAAATATATAGTTCACTTTTTGATTTAAGTTATAATTATTCAAAATCTCAATGGATATCTTATTCAACTCTTGAATTAAATAAATTTAAAATTATAAATAATTTAACAATTCATTTATATGATGTTGCTATTTCAAAATATAAAGAAAAAAGATCAATAAAGGATTTATAGCTTGTAGATTTTAAACTATTAGAATTACACTCATTTGATGATTATGTTGATGCTTTTAAAATGATTATTAATATTCCTTCACTTAATAATTATTTAAATCAAAATATAATTCCAATAATTACAGATTGGTCAGGACAATTATTTATTAGAAAAATTATTATATATTTAAAAATTCAACAATCAGCAACAAATATTCCACAAGTTTATAAAAATTTCCATCCAATTATTGGTTCTCTTCATGTTGTATTAAATAGTAAAAAAACAGCATTAATAATTAATTATGAATTTTTTAAACAACTATTTTATTTTGTATTTGGTGATAAAAAAAAATTAGCTAAAAAACCTAAACCTTGGCAAATTAATTTTTTATTAGAATTAGCACATAAAGCATAGCAAAAAATTAAAAAAATAATTTTAGAAAAATTTGGATTATATTGTAAAGATACTGAATATAGAATAGCTATTAGATAATATAATTCTTGCTACTTTGGATATTTATACAATTTTATTTAGATCTGGTTTATATATGAAATATATAGAAACAATTTTTAGAATTTGGATATTTGCACTAAAATAGTCTAGAAAAAATTATAATAAAGCTCCTTTAGCTTTTCTTTCAGATATTTTTTATTGAACAGATAATAATCATCCTTTTAATAATACTATTAAAAATTTTTTAGTTTATTTTAATGATTATTATGTAGAAAATATGCATAGTAGAATTAGAGCTTATATAAAAAAATATTTTACTAAAGAAGAAATAATTAGAGAAGCATTTGTTATAGATAAGTTATTAAATATTTTAAATTTTTTTAATAATTATAATTTTTTTTTTTTTTTTGAATGTTAAAGTGATCTCTATAGCCAGAAACTTTTTATTAGACTTATTAATTTTAGATTATATAGTTATAATGAGGATACATCAAGCCACTTGTGTACTTTTAGTACCTAATTTAAGTAGTTTATCTGGGTTTTATACTAGCCACCATACCTACAATCTAACTAGGAGATTACCTATTTAAGCTCTCTAATTATTACTAATAGGAGTATGACTAGCTATACATACAACTTTTGGTTGCTTATTTAAGTAGTCTGCTCTAGGTTCTACACTAGCTACCGTACTTGTATCCCAACTATAGGAATACCCATTTAAACACTTTGGATACAACTTCTATCCATTTTTAAGCTAACCAAGGTATAACTCACTATTCATATGTAGGTTTTTGCAACATCTGTAGATTTTGCACCCATCTTAGGACTTACTAATCATTTCTAGCTAATCTATTCACAAGGTAAACCTAACAGAGTAGTCCATGTTTCACACATGTTTATATCTGCATGTTTGGTAATTTCCTTCTAACTAGTACCTGTTGTGCTGTTATTACCAGGTTCATATCTTAAGCTATCCTTTAGGATACTGCTATAACCTGATTTGTATATCAAGCCACAACCTTTCTAATTAGTCTTTAATTACGTACTTCTCATCTTTGTAAGGTTTGTACAATCCCAGTACCCATATTCGGACTTTCTTTCTTCCTTGGATTTTTTATCAATCTCTTCCTTACTTCTAGCTAGCAACCTGGAAGGATTGGTCTGCCCAGGCTTTAGGTGTCTTATAGTCTCTCTTCTCTTAGTATATGCTTCCAGAGCACATATCCTTTTTCTCTGGTTGGCGACTCGGCAGTTTGGCTAGTGTGTTCCCCCACTTAAAGACCTGGTCGCTTGGTTTTTCAGTCTCAGTCTTCAATTTCAAATTTAGTCTTCCTGTAGCACCATTAAAGATCATACTATCTCTCTACTCGGGACTTGCCAAATAGGTTTTTGATAATTCTGGCTTTCTGGATTTATTGCGCCAAAGCTCTCATTCGAAATGGTGTGATCAAGATTACAGATATCTGGATCCAACTGATAATTTTAATGTTAACCGATACAGATCTAATATTTTCAAAATCATTATCTGTGGGATTTGAACTCTAGACCTGCCATCTGGGGGTGCGACAACTCCACTACTTCACTAAGTCACCATATCTATTATAATTTTTTAATATTATAAAATTAATTATTTATATATATTATATATTAGATTTACATTGTCATGATTAATTTAAACAAAACTTTCAAAATTTTAAAAAATATTCTTATACACAATTAAGTTTAGAATATTTAATTCAAAAAATATATATTTTTTTATTAAATTATTTTAAAAAAATATACAGTATTTAACTAAAAGATTAGAATATCAAGATACAAATTATAAATCTTTTTATTATTATTTACTAGCACTTAAAATTACTATATTAACAAAACAACTTTCTTGTAGATATTCTACCAAAAAAATTCCTTCATTAATTAATTGTGATTTATATGATACTCTTTTAAAAAATCAGAAGTTTTAATTTGTGGTTATAGATATTATATAGTATGCTATATTGCTATGGAAAAAAGATATAAATATTGCTATGATTATTATGAAACTAGAATTAAACATAATGTAAAATCTTTTATAAATAGATTAGAAAAAGGTGCTAATATATTAACTAAAAAAGATATAGATATAAATGATAATGAAGATAATGAAAATAATAATAATAATAATAATAATAATAATAATAAAGTTGAAAATTTAAATTTAGTATTAAGTAAAAAAGATAAAATAGAACAAGAATTTATAGATAAATTAGTTAATGTTTTAAATTGGTAATTTATATTGTTATAAATATATATTTATTAATTTATAAATTATTATTAAATATAAATATAAAAAAAAAATTTATTATTATTATATATAATAAATTTTATAATATAAATAAAAAAAATTTAAAAAATATTTTTATTAAATTAAATATATTAATTTAAAAAGTATAATAAATTATATAATTTTTGTTTATTATAAAATCTAATTTTTGGAGGGTTTTTCTAGGTATCTCTGGCCAGAGATATATAAACTATATATCTCTGCCTATTAACTAATTAAAACATGTGAAGGTCACGTGACCCACGTTTTTGTATCACCATCTAGTCGGAAGAGCTTGTACAACCCAGAATCCAACCTCACTTTACGGGGCCCTATGACTGACCAATCAAATTTAACCACAAAAAATTTTTTTTTGGCATAGCAACCTGTTACTATGAAAGCTCTGCCAAAATTGTTATATTGTTTAATTTTTTTAATTTTATTAATATTTATATTATATTTTTGTCACATATTATGAACAAGTATATATAAAATTTTTTTTATTTTTTTTTTAAAAAAATAATTATACATCTAAAAATGCCCTAGTCTTTAATTTAAACTATAACCCTAACCTTAACTAAAATTGTGTAATGAATATCCATTTCTACAAAACACCAACTCGGTAAATGACGATGATACAAGAAAACAATAGCACCAAAAAATAAAGATACTAACAAATGACAATACAACAAATCGACAAAAGAAAAGTTAGTAACTACAATAAAAAGAGAAAAGCAAGAATGAAGCAAAAAAGAAAACAAAAAGAAGGATACACCTGTATCAAGAATAGACTAAACAAAGAAACTACAATACCTTCAACAACCTACTGTTATCTGAAAAAGAGAAGTTAGTAAACAATAAATAGTAATAAAAAAAAAAAAGAAAAAAAGAGAAAAAAGAAAATGAATAGAAAAATATATACTAATAAGAATGAAGAAGCCAACGAAACTGACCACTAAAAGAATGTGAAAGCAATAAAACTAACTAGCAAAGAAACTATGGCAGTCTTGATAACCTACTATTACTTGAAAAAAAAAAGTTAGTAATACAATGAAAAAAAAGAAAATAAAAAAAAAAACAAAAGAAAAAGAATACATAGCAAGAATGATAAAACTGAAGTAATAGAACTGATCACCAAAGAAACCATGTTAGCCTTGACAACTTACTATTATCTAAAAAAAGAAGAGGAGTTAGAGAAAAAAAAAAAAAAGAAATGAAGAATACAAAAAAGCAAGTAAAAGAAAAATGATACACTAGCAAGAACGAAGAAACTAAGAATGCGAAAGCAACGAAGCCAATCACAAAAGAAACTATAACAACCTTGATAATCTACTACTACCTAAAAAAGAAAAGAAGTTAGTAAATACAATGAAAAAAAAAAAGATAAAAGTAAAGAAAATAAAAAAAAGAAATAAATAAAAAAAAATACACCAGCAAGAATGAAGAAAGTGAACCATAACAACCTTGACAATCTGCTATTACAGTATTATCTAAAAAAAGAAGAGTTAGAAAAAAAAAACAAAAAAACAAACAAGAATAAAGTAAATGAAAAAGAACTGATTACCAAAGAAACCACGTCAGTTTTTTGATGCTTTGACAACCTACTGCTCTTGAAAAAAGAAGTTAGTAAGCACAATGAAAAAAAAAAAGAAAACAAGAGCCAAAAAAATGTGAAAAAAAAGAATACACCAACAAGAACGAAATCAACCACCAACAATAACTATCTATAGATCTGAGATGACTCTAAGAGAATCACCATATAAGAGAATACAAAATTTCAACTATGCAAAAGACTCAAAACTATTTTTTCACAAAAAC